CGGCAGCATCCCGCAAATCCCCCCCAAAAAAACCCTAAAAAAACTGCTCCATGCAGTCCCACCAAAGTTTAATTGCGCCTCTGGACCTGCGCTAATTACCCGGGTAATTAAGCGAGGAGGATTCAGCGCGGCTGCCTCAGCGAAAGTAACCCTCAACCCTCGTCCCACAAATCCTCCTGTTCTGGGCATTTCGGGGAGAGCCGGGATGGGAGCTTTGCCTCACGAGGGTGGGTCGGGATCAGGGTTTATAAACTGAGATTTCTGCAGCAAAGCTCGGCCTAAGATCCCTCTGAGCGGAGCCTCCCGAGCTGCTCTTTTATCTCCAGCTCGGGCTGGTTTTAGGGGACGATTGGGACTGGTTTTAAGGGATGATTTGAGCTGGTTTTAAGGGATCACTCGGACTGGTTTTAAGGGATGGCTCGGGCCGGTTTTAGGGGATGATTCGGGCTGGTTTTAAGGGATCTTTCGGGCCGGTTTTAAGGGATGATTTGGCCTGGTTTTAAGGGATGATTTGGCCTGGTTTTAAGGGATCTTTCGGGCCGATTTTAAGGGATGATTTGGGCTGGTTTTAAGGGATCTTTCGGGCCGATTTTAAGGGATGATTTGGGCTGGTTTTAAGGGATGATTTTGGCCGATTTTAAGGGATGATTTGGCCTGGTTTTAAGGGATCTTTCGGGCCGATTTTAAGGGATGATTTGGGCTGGTTTTAAGCTCCCTCTTTGCATAAGGGCTCCTGGCCTCAGGGAACCCCAGCTGGGCTAAATGGACTCCAAAGGATTTCCAGCAGCTGCAGTATCAGATCCCTGCTCCTGCCTCTGGTGTGCCAGGAACACCTCTCCAAACTCCAGAGGGAATGGGAATAAGAGCAGGATCCATCCCAGGGTCAGTGGGAGGCTGGGGAGGCCGAGGGCTGGGGGTGCCTCCTCCTGGCCCTCCTCAGCAGAGGAACAGAGTTGTTCTTCCCATAAAGAGCCAGGAAAGTGGGAATTTCCACACTAAGTCATCAGGGAGGTTTTCCCAATTTTCACAGGGGTCGTGTCATGGAATCCCAGGGTGGTTTGAGTTGGGAGGGATCTTAAAGCCCATCTCATCCCACATCCCAAACTGCTCCCAGCCCCAATGTCCAGCCTGGCTTTGGGCACTTCCAGGGATCCAGGAGCAGCCACAGCTGCTCTGGGAATTCCATCCCAGCCTCTCCCCACCCTCACAGCCAGGAATTCTTTCCCAATATCCCATCCATCCCTGCCCTCTGGGAATCCATTCCCTGTGTCCTGTCCCTCTATCCCTTGTTCCCAATCCCTCTCCAGCTCTCCTTCAGGCCCTGGAAGGTCGTGGTAAGGTCACCCTGCACCCCCCAACATGGTTGGGCTCCTAAATCTGTCAAATCTAATCATAAATTAAGCCAAATTTTCTTCCTCTGCATAAAAACGAAGCACATTTGGTTAGGATGGGGTGACAGAGCTGCCATGCCCTTGGTGCCAACCTCTCCACCCTCCCAGGGTCCCTCACCGAGGATTTCCATGTCTGGAACCAGAGCTCAGCAAAGGAATCGAGGTGGGGAGAAGCCCCGAGCAGGCAGGGTTTGGTGTGGGCAGCAGGAGGGGAGCTGGGAGAGAACTTTCCCACTGGTAATGAAGGAAATTCCAACCTGCACACACATCTGGGAAGGAGCTGTGATTCCCTGGAGCAGAGGGTGACTGGAATAGAGTCACTGTTACTGCTGGTAATCAGGGAATAATTCCGTGCTGGGAGACTTCATTTGGTGCAGAATTCTGCAGTTGTTCCAGAGCAGGCACAACGGGGAAGCTCCACAGGATCCCGGGGCTGTTCCTCACACACGGCCCCAGATGATTCCAGACTCACTGGGAATGCTGGATGTGCCTTTGGAGATGGAAAATGACACCTGAGCTTCATCTTATTGGTGTCATCTGCACTCTCCCGTCAGTTAAAGGTGTTCATTGCTGTGCTCACAATTTGGGGTGCAGGGAAGGGAGCGCTGAGCCCATTTCCTGATTTTTCTCCTTTTTAAGGGAAACCCCCCAGAGTTTGGGTCAACATCCCCTCCTCATCCATACACCCCTAATTCCCATCTCTTAGCGAGCTTATCAGTGCTGATTTTCTTTGGAAAAGGCACGGGGATGATTATTAATGACGAAAATTAATGAAAATAACAGCACGGGCCGCAAATGGGCATTACCGTAATTACCCGCGTGGCTGGCGGGCGTTACCGTAATTGCAGGCGGCGCTCTCCGAAGCGCCAATCCCTGGGTTTGCTCCAGTTGGAATTTTCTCCTCGCTCCCTGCAATCTGTTTGTTTTCCCCCCTCCCGTCGCTGTCGCATGGATTTAAGGTCGGGATTGCTACGGGGGGGTGTGTTTGCACATGACATCCTGCAGAGGAGGCAGCAGCCTGCTCCCTCCCTGCCCAGCAATTCCCGGGAAGCAGCGCCGCTCCAGAGCATCCTGACATCAAGGAAAAAAAAAATAATAATCCCAAAAACCCGCCACGAGCTGTGCAACATCCGGGATGCCTCGGTGTTTCTGAAAGGGGGGAGGTGTGTGATAAAGTAAATGTTGCTTTGGTTGGTGCCAGCATCCTTGGGATGACAAATCCCAACAAACTTTGCAAATCCTTTGGGAATTCCCGCAGCTCCGGGAAGCTCAGCTGGGTTTGAGGCTCGCAGTCCTTTTAGCAGTGCTAAAAGGATTCTGCTGCCTGTGTTTATAAAAGGCTGCTGATTAAAGGGCTGGAAAAAAATGAGGGAGATTAAGGCTGTGAGGGGCAGATTCCTGCTTCCAGATGGAATGGGAGAACCCCGAGGATTTTTCTGGGCTGCAGATGCCTCGGGTGACCTTGTGGTGGCCACTTAATTGCTCCGTGCCTCTTTGGAAAGGCAGTGGCCGCCCTTTGTGCTTTGTGAGGCCACTTGTGAGGTAAAAACATTTTTATCAGCTGTTTGTCCGGCCCGTTGATCTGAAAGGGGCCATTGTAAGGAAACCCCGGGCTGATGAGAAGCGGTTGGTGGGATCCATCTGCGTTTTTCCTGGGATAAAGGCCTGGATGCAGGCAGGGAAATGCTGCAGCACATGCTTGGCTGCCAGGCTGGGGGAGGGCTCCCGAGTGCTGGCTGCTGCAAAGACGTCACTGCGAGGGGAGACGGGGCCAGGGCTCCCCTCCCCTCCTGCTCCTGCTCCAAGGCTTTTCCTTGGCGGGTTCCAAAGGGATTTTTGTCCCTCGTGGTTGGCAGGAGACCCGGTGGGACAGAATGCACGGCCCAGCGCTGTGGGATGTGTTCCTGGGCAGCCAGAATCCTTCACATCCCAATCCTTCCTGTATCCCAAACTTCACATTCCAGTCCTTCCTGTATCCCATGGGATGCCAACCTTCACATCCTAATCCTTCCTGTATCCCAAACTTCACATCCCAATCCTGTCCATATCCCATGGGATGCCAGCCTTCCCATCCCAATCCTTCCTGTATCCCAAACTTCACATCCCAATCCTTTCTGTACCCCAACCTTCCCATCCCAATCCTTTCTGTATCCCAACCTTCACATCCCCACCCTTTCTGTATCCCAACCTTCACATCCCCACCCTTTCTGTATCCCAACCTTCACATCCCAATCCTTCCTGTATCCCATGAGACAGGATTTAAGCTGCTTGACTTCCCTGCAATGTGAGATAGGATTGGATGGGATATTGGGAAGGAATTCCTGGCTGAGAGGGTGGACAGGCCCTGGAATAGAATTCCCAGATTTGCTGTGGCTGTCCCTGGATCCCTGGCAGTGCCCAAGGCCAGGCTGGAGCAGCCTGGGACAGTGGGAGGTGTCCCTGCCATGGCAGAGCTGGAATGGGATGGGGTTTAGGGTTCTTTCCAAGCCAGGCCATTCCAGGATTCCCAGTTTCGGGAAGTGGCACTGTCCCAGCAGGTCACAGCCCACCTTTGGGCTGCAGGGGTGAAAGGGAGGTGCCACCAGCTGCCACCTCTGCTCATGGGGGATGTAAGGACAGGAGAAGGTGAGTGCCAACCTCCCGGGCTGCAGGCGGCCAAAGGCTGAGCTGGGATCCCAGCTGGATGCTCTGGAGCCCAGCCTTGTCCAGCCTGGGCTGGCAGGGGCAGAGGGCAGCAGGATTTTGGAGCAGGATTTTGGGAGCAGGATTTCAGGATTTTGGGAGCAGGATTTGAGAGCGGGAAGCAGGATTTTGGGATCAGGATTTCAGGGGCGGGATTTGAGAGTGGGAAGCAGGATTTTGGGAGCAGGAATTTGGGATCAGGATTTCAGGGGCAGGATTTGAGAGAAGGATTTTGGCAACAGGGGGCAGGATTTTGGGAGGAGGATTTTGGGAACAGGATTTCAGGATTTTAGGATCAGTGTTTGGGGATCAGGATTTCGGGATCCAGGATTTCAGGATCAGGATTTCGGGTGCAGGATTTCGGGATCCAGGATTTCGGGATCAGGATTTCGGGATCCAGGATTTTGGGATCAGGATTTTGGGATCAGGATTTCGGGCGCAGGATTTCGGGATCCAGGATTTCGGGATCCAGGATTTCGGGATCCAGGATTTCAGGATCAGGATTTCGGGATCAGGATTTCGGGATCCAGGATTTCGGGATCCAGGATTTCGGGATCCAGGATTTTGGGATCAGGATTTTGGGCTGTGCCCGCTCCTCACGTGTCCCCCAGCACGCGGGGCAGCCTCGTGCCATCATCCCAGGAGGGGCTGGGAGCTGGGAAAGCAGCTGGAGACAGGGAAAGGATTTCACAGCAAAGATGGCCCTTTTTTATTTTGGGAATCCTGGCCTCTGGCACAGCCACCAAGGACGTCCTGAGCAGCGGGAGGGCCGCTCATCCCAGCGATCCCGGCACAAAGGGATTTTCTTTGGATTCCGTGTCAAGGACAGCTCCAGCTCCCTCGTAAAGGGATTGCTTGGAACAAAAACTGCACAAGTGATTAAATATTGAAATTTGGATTGTGAATCACACAGAATGGTTGGGGTTGGGAATGACCCTAAAGCTGCTCTCTGTTCCACCCCCCTGCCTCGGGCAGGGACGTTACAGATGCGTCCTTTTAACAATGAATGTCCGAACTGATGAATTGCAGTTGCAGATTTAAGGTGATTATTTCTTACACCTCTTATCTGAAGGGTATTTCCCTTTGTAAAGGGACGTTTTTGCCGCGTTGCTGCATTTTGCCCTTTACCACAGAGGAGGAAAAACCTGATCGCAGTGAAAATGTGAAAAACGCTTTTAAAAATCCAGCTGGGAATATTCTGAAAGTCTCTGTAAGGAATAGGATTAAAGCAAGGCAGGAACGGAGAGGAGGCTGCTGTCTGCTTTTTCCCTTATTTAAATATTCCCGGAGCTTCCTCCATTTTAATTTTCCCATAAAACATGGCTGTGTTAGCAGAGCTGACAAAACCAACATCATTTCCCTGGCTCGGCTCAGTTTAAGCCGGGCTCCTACGGAGTGGGGACCCCCTTTATAGGAACTGAGCGAGCAGCACGATCCTAAAAAATTCCCGAATTCCCCAGCGCTTCCAGGCACGCAGCTGGGTCGGTGCGGATCAATTCCCATCCTTTTGTGCCTTCCCGGATCTCATCCCTCGCTCCCGCATCCACCCACGGGAAGCCTCGGCGAGGATGCGCTGCCAGGCTTGGCTTAGGCTGGGATTAGCAGCTGCTGCTGCCGGGTTTTGCGGGGTCTCTGCCTCGGATGAACGCTGATTTTTTTTTGGGGGGGGTGGGATTGGGAAAGGTTCCTCTGCTATCGGAGCGGCGATTTCTCCGGGAGGATTTGTGCTGGCTTGCCAGGAGATTTTCAAAATGCCTGAAGCCAACTATTTGTTATCGGTGTCTTGGGGTTACATTAAGGTGGGTTTAATTCCTGAAGGACTATTAATTACCGAATTATTAATGGCTGGGTTTTTTGTTTTTTTTTTTCTCTTTTATTTATTTATTTTTTGGGGGGTGCCGTGTTGCTCGGAGAAAGCCTTTGTGAGGAAAAGATGCTTTAAAAATGCGGATTTCTGTGTGTTTTAGCTAATCATGTGTGTAGTGTGCATGCAGAGCCCATGGATGTCATTTTTGGGGGGGTGGGGGGAATTCGGTGTTGCAGGATAAAATGATTCAGCAGTGAAAATGCTGGATTATAAAATCAGCAGGATCACAGCATGGATATCTAATGGAATAATGCCCGAATCCCACATTTTGCTGTGTGATCTTCAGGTTCAGGGCATATTTCTCCTCTTGTCTGTTTGTTTAATACAAAACGGAGCAAATTTAGAGCACCCGGAACAAAAGAAGGTTTAGGGATGGGGAATCTGAACCTGAGATAAAAATCTGAGCTTTCAGAGAGATTTATCCGAAACGTTCTCTCCTCGTTTGTAACAATTAATGAGCATCCTTAGAGGAAATTAATTCCGTGGGCTGTAAAGAAAATACCCAGTCATGGTGATGCCGAGCAGGATGGAAATGAAACCATCTGTCACCGACTCCATCCCAAATATCCCAGGAATTCTGCGTGCTGGGGGGGGGAACCTCCCGTGCTGAGGCTGTGCGGATTTGGGACAGGATTCCATAAAAAAAAATCCATTAAAAAATGCCATTTTCCTGTGCTCTCCCCCCCGTGCAGTTTAAGAGGATGCTGAACCGGGAGCTCACCCACCTGTCCGAGATGAGCCGTTCTGGCAACCAAGTGTCCGAGTACATTTCCAACACTTTCCTGGGTAAGGAATCCAGCCCGAATTGGGGTTTTTTGGGGTTTTTTTGGGGGGGTTTAGGGAAGGGTTAAGGACAGCCTGATCGCCCCCATTCACAGTTTCCCTCTTGGGGTTTTCACTTTCAAATGGCTGCGGGCAAGGGGAGAATTGTTTTTGGGTGAGTGAATCCACAGAGGAATTCCTTCTTCCCCAGCTCTGGGATGTTGCTGGGAGGGTTCCATGGGATGTTTCTGGGATGGATTCCGTGAGGCTGCGTTATGCAATGCTGGGTTTTTGTGGTGACCTTATGGAAAGGACAAAGTGACACCGAGGCAGCTGCAAGCACTGCCTCAGGTTCAGCTGCTCCTTCCCTTCGGAGATGAGGCTCAGACTAAATAATCCCCAACGTTTTATTCGTTACTTTGTGGGAATCTGCTCATTTTGCAGCAGAAGTCAGAAAAAAAATTAATTAAAAAAAAAAAAAAGGAGAATATTTTGCATTTCATTCATTCTGTAGGAGCTCGCAGCTCCACATGAATGAATCCTCTGTGCCCACGTTTGGTAGGAGAAACGGGATTTTCTCAGGAAGCAGCTTCAGGATTTGTGACCATTTGCATCTCAAATGAGGAGCCTCATATTTCTAGACATCCTTGAATCCAACAAATCCAATATGTCCAAAGGCTGTGGGTGCTGGGGATTCATGCCCTGAGGTTGGAACAGCCTGGAATGCGTTCCCTGTGTGACACACAATTATTCCCATTAAGGATTTTAAAGTGATCCCAATATCCAGCTGCAACTGGAGCTGCTGCCTGCATTTAGGACACTCCACAGCATTAATAATCCATGGAAGTTTGGAGCTGCTTTGTGGGAATGCATTGATTTTACTGCTCAGCTGAATCCAGAGCAGGAATCCAAACAGGGAATGGGATTAGATGAGGATGCACAAAGGGGCAATTCCAGGGATTTGGATGCTGCTCAGCTTTTCCCAGCAGCCACGTGGGTGTGGAGCAGGAATTGCCAATGTGGCCACCAAAAATAAACCCCACAAACACTCAGGTTAACAGAGCCTGAATGCCAGCAGGGGCTGATGAGCTGCTGGTGCTGCTGGGGTTGTTTTATTCCTGGAATTCCACACTGGTTTGGGTTGGGAGGGACCATAAGGATCACCCAGTGCCACCCCTGCTCTGGCTGGGACACCTCCCACTGTCCCAAGGTGTCCCAACCCGGCCTTGGGCACTGCCAGGGATCCAGGGACAGCCACAGCAAATCTGGGAATTCTATTCCAGGGTCTCACCACCCTCCCAATGAACAATTCCTCCCCAATATCCCATCTAAATCCATCTTCTTCCAGCTCACAGCCATTCCCTGTGTGCTGTCCCTCCCTGCCTTGTCCCCAGTCCCTCCCCAGCTCTCCTGGAGCCCCTTCAGGCCCTGCCAGGGGCTCTCAGCTCTCCCTGGATCCTTCTCCTCTCCAGGTGAGCACCCCCAGCTCTCCCAGCCTGGCTCCAGAGGGGCTCCAGCCCTGCAGCAGCTCCATGGATTCCTCTGGAATTTCTCCAGCAGCTCCATGTGTGAATTCCTGCTGTTCCCCCTGCTCAGGCAGCTCCATTCCCCTGGCAGGGCTGGACAATGCTCTGTCCACCCCCCTGTGATGCCACTCAGGGCCTGGCACTGCTGAGGGGAGCAGGCTCTCCAGACTGGGCCAGGTTGCAGCCTGATTGCTCATCTTAAAAAAAAAAAAAAAAAAAAAGGAATTAGGGAAGAAGCTTTTAAAATGATCACCAGTTGTTTCAGGAAGTCGTGCTGCTACGGGTTTTATGAATTGGTTTTTTCCTTCCTAAAATGTAATTAAATTAAATGAACGCCCAAAATAACAGGAGTCTGCAAAGTGAGGAGGTTGAGCAAACAAACAAAAAGAAATATGTGGGCAGGACACTCATTTATCTCCAGAGTTGGGGATAATTCAGAGATATTAAACCCAGATCATGTGATTTCATTCAGCCTTTTGATTTCATCAGGACAAGGAGGGACAGGACACAGGGAGTGGCTTCCCACTGCCCGAGGGCAGGGATGGATGGGACATTGGGAAAGAATTCCTGGCTGTGAAGGGCACCTGGCACAGAGTGCCCAACACCCCTGGGACACTGTGAGGCATCCAGGGATGCAGCCAGATGATTTTTAAGCTCCCTCCCATCCCAATTTATCCTGTAATTCCGTGCTGAAACGAGCTGGGAAGGCTCCAGGAGGGTCCAGCCCTGCATCCCCAGCGTGGGAAGGTCAGAGATGTCCAGCAGTGGTTCCAGGGCACGGCACAGGGACAATCCTGCTCTTCCCGAGGGCTGCCACCCCCTGGGGACACTGATGCAACAAATGAGGGATTTCTGCTCCACTGTGGCCATTTGATGCTGCCTTAGTCACTGCTGAGGAGATGATGGAGAGGAAATCCTTCAGTGGTGCAGCAAAATCCAGGGGACAGGCAGTGATGTCAGGCAGGCTCTGCTGTGGGTAATGATCCTGTCCTAACTGCATCACAGGGGGTTCATTAAACCCAGGCTAAAGTAAAGCCTGGAAGCCTCTGGAGGTCCTCAAGGTGTGCACAGGTTGTGGTAAAATCCATGAAAAAAATGGTTTGGATGGAAGTAATGAGCCACTGGATCTGTGCTTGAATCGATCAGCTGTAGGGCAGTGAATGACACCTGGTTTTAATTTTGATTTATTTACTAAACACATCTCCAGAGCCCAGTTTGGGCCCTCTTCATGTGCACTGAAACTCTGATTATCCCTGAGAGTGGCAATGGGAATTTGGCCTGTGCTTTGGATGTTATTCCATATTTATTTGTGAAGGAAAAATCTTTAATAAATCAGTGACACCCATTTGTTACTGGTTTTAAGAGCAGGGGGTATTGACCCTAAAAAGTGAAAATAGGGAAAATAGATGTGGTTTTACTTTATTCAGGAAAAAAAAATCTTTTATTTTCTTGACATAGGGAATAAAATTAACTGGGATTTATCCCTAAAGGACAACTTTCCAGGCATGGAAAATCACAGAATCATTTAGGTTGGAGGTCACAGGGTCCAACCATTCCCAGCACAAATCCATGTCCCCAAATGCCCCATCCATGCACAGAGACACATTCCTGGACGTGTCCAGTGTCCCCAAACCACACAGGGGCTGCAGGAGAGCAACCAGAGCTTTTGTAACTTGGTTTTTTTAATTCTTTATTTGATTTTTTGGATCCCAAAACGAGAAGATCCCCTGGGATTGAAGTGAGGAGCAGAGGCAGCAGCTCCAGGACTGGTTTTGGGGGATGTGCTGACTCATTTCCCCCTGCTGTGTTGCAGACAAGCAGAACGATGTGGAGATTCCTTCTCCCACCCAGAAGGACAGGGAGAAGAAGAAAAAACAGCAGCTCATGACACAGATCAGCGGGGTGAAGAAATTAATGCACAGCTCGAGCTTAAACAACACCAGCATCTCACGGTTTGGGGTGAAGACAGAGAAGGAAGATCACCTGGCCAAGGTAGGAGAGATTCCTGCTCCTCTGGGGGAATCTGGAAGCTGGGAATGGATTGTTCCCCCTTGGAATTAGCACCCCTGAAATGATGTGGCCATTAGAAATGCTGTAATTAATGGTAGCCTTAGCATATTTTGCATTTAAAAATATGTGAAAATAGGTCTAAAATAAAAAAAAGGTGATGAAGGCTGAGGGGAGCAATTATGAAACACAAAACCAGCCCTTCACAGTTACTCTGTGTTCATTAATCTCACATTCAGCACTTACATAATTACAGTAACCATTACATTTGCATATTTGTGTGAACTTCTGGGAATTGCCTGGAAAACCATTCAAACCTTTCTGTCTTTGTGCTGTCCCAAAGGAACTGGAAGACCTCAATAAATGGGGCCTGAACATCTTCAACGTGGCCAGGTATTCCCACAACCGGCCGCTCACCTGCATCATGTACGCCATATTCCAGGTGAGTATTCCTGGAATTCAGAATTCCCTGCTGCTCCCAGCCCCATTTCCACCTGTCTTGGTTTGAGAGACAGGTGTCTGCTAAGAAAGGAGACTTTTTAAAATGGAGAATGTAAACCCTTCTCCCTCCAAATTATTGTGATTTTGAAATGAAGGGGCTCTCAGGCAAAGAAATGGGAATAGGAATAACAGTTCTTTACTAAAAATAAAAATACAGTAATACAAAACAACAAAAATAGG